ACAGGAGTTGGAGAAAGGGAGACCTTACCCCTTAGGCAAATTAGAGTAGATTGAGCGTAAGTGGGAAATGAGGGCACTTTGTTACCTCTGTGTTTTTAAAACTTCTCATTTTGTTTGGGAATTGTTAATGGCTTATAGGATAAATTCCCTACATGCAACCTTGTATAAAGGTAGCATCTATATGTATGAGGCAAGGATGCCTATTTCCTGGGGTGGGGAGGAGGAATCTTGACTGTTAGAAAGACAAAAAGGAAAATAAACACAGCACAAATGGTTTATACACTAGTGACTGGGGTAAGATCATAGAGAAAGCACGTGTATGATTACAACCACCCCCTGGCATAAGATACTAGCACATTTTACCTGGGCTATTATCAGGAAAGCAATAGTAAGAGATACTGTCAATATTATCTCTTACCTGATACTGGTATTATAACTCTCCTGTCTTCTTCCAGTGGCATTACCAATATTTTTTTTTCTTTCTTTTTTTTTTTTACCAATATTTTCTTTACCTGTTTTTCCCCTACTTAAAACCTTCTGATGGCTTTTTGTCACATTTATGCTAGATCTTAAAGTCCTTGATTTTACCCTGACACTATCATACATGACAAGACCCCTACCTACCGATAGATTTCAACCCCGTCTCGTACCTCAGCTATTGAATCTTCCCTCCTGCAACTCCCGAGCCACAACTGCCTGTTGGTTTCTCTAACAAGCCAGAGTGTCTCTATTTTAGGACCCCTGCATGAACTTTTCCCTCTGTCTGAATTATACTGCCTCCTGATCTGCAAATGGTGACTCCTGCTTGTCATTCAAATTTGAAATTAAATGGCACCACCCTAGAAACAACATTCCTGGGTCACACAGGCAAAAGAGGCCCCTCAGGCTCTATCACACTAACTTTTAACCTCTTCAAAAAGCATATTCCTATCTGATATTTTTCTTGTGTGTGTGGGGGGGGGGTTTTGTTTTTTGTTTTTATTTTTTTACTGGATGTAAGACACTCTAAAGCTTCTGGAACCTTGCCTTTTGTATTCATTACTGTATACCCAGTGCCTTGAAATGTAGATGGTATTTTGAGGCACTCCACTAATATTTATTAGTATTAACATTCATGTGTATATAGATAGATGCAGATATAGATACATACATAGATGTAGATACAGATACCTACATACATACATAGCTGTTACATTCATAGTCACTCAGTCACTTTTGACTCTTTGCAACCCCATGGATTGTAGTTAGCCCACCAGGCTCCTCTGCCCATGGAATTTTTTCAGGCAAGAATACTGGAGTGGGCTGCCATTTCCTACTCCAGGGGACCTTCCTGACCCAGGGATCAAACCCTCTGACTCAAGGATTCAACCCAAGTCTCTGTGTCTCCTGCACTGGCAGGTGAATTCTTTACCATGAGTGACACCTGGGAAACCTGATATATACAGTAATATATCCCAATGAATATATATAAAATAGAATTTGATTATCATACATAGACATGCTCTTAAATGAAACTAAAAATTGACAAGTATAAATATTCATAGATTTTAGTTATCAGATTATCTGCATTCCCAGCCATTTTATTTTTATTTATTTATTTTTACTTTTGTAATAAGACCAGATCATGGCATCTGGTCCCATAATTTCATGGCAAATAGATAGGGGAACAATCAAAGCAGTGACAAGACTTTATTGTCTTGGACTCCAAAATCATTGCAAGATTGGTGACTGCAGCCATGAAATTAAAAGATGTTTGTTCCTTGGAAGAAAAGCTATGATCAACCTAGACAGTGTTTTGAAAAGCAGAGACATTACTTTGCCAACAAAGGTTCATTTAGTCAAAGCTATGGTTTTTCCAGCAGTTATGTATGGATGTGAGAGTTGGACTATAAAGAAAGCTGCGTGCCACAGAATTGATGCTTTTGAACTGTGGTGTTGGGAAAGACTATTGAGTCCCTTGGACAGCAAGGAGATCCAACCAGTCCATCCTAAAGGAAATCAGTCCTGAATATTCATTGGAAGGACTGATGCTAAAGCTGAACCTCCAGTCCTTTGGCCACCTGATGGGAAGAACTGACTCATTGGAAAAGACCCTGATACTGGGAAAGATTGAAGGTGGGAGGAGAATGGGATAACAGAGGATGAGACGGCTTGTTGGCATCACCAACTCGAGGGACAGGCATTTGAGCAAACTCCAGGCATTGGTAATGGACAGTGAAGCCTGGCATGCTGCAGTCCATGGGGTCACAAAGAGTTGGATATGAATGAGTGACTGAACTGAACTGACTGAATAAGACAACAACTTAAGAATTCTAGCTGGCTTTGGTTACATCTCATCTACCTAGACAAACCTTAATTATCATTATCTCTCCCTAAATCTATGCTTAGGCAGTGAAAATGGATTTTGACTATATTTATCCATACCCTTTCTTTCTTTGGAGGAGCAAACTGAAAGGTGTGGTATAATCCATTTTTGATTGTTAACCGTCTACTATGCTCTCCTACTCCTAAGTAATCATATGATTGGAAATAACAGATAATGCTCCAAATTGAAGCTAATCATCAACATGGCTATGAAAGTATAAACTGAACAGGTAGCAATGTACTAAAGGATTAAAATGAACCTAAAATTATTTTTTTAATATTGACAATATCCTATTGTGATAATCAGCTTTTTGTTTCCTCTAAAAAAATCTATCAAAATTCAGGTCCAGGATAGTTTGCATAATGGCTAATCACCTTTAGAATTTTCTGCATGAAAATCCACAAAGTTAGTGAATGTGGTATGTAAGACTATTATTTACAAACTTACAAGAGATTTCTGAATTTGCTTGTCTTAAATAATACTTTGTGCATGTGTACCTCCACAAATTGTCCAGACTAGTTGATATGCTACAAGCATTGACACATTAGTGTCTCATTTTAAAAACTATGTTTTAGCAAAAGCTATGCCAGCTAAGAGGCTGCCCTTATCTTCTTGTTAATCATTCTAAAAGCTTAAATACCAACCTTCTCTAAGGACAAACTATTTTTATGTCAATCTTAGCTTAGTAATATTGCCATTTTAGGTTTCTCATCCTCCAGTGGGATGGGTGTGAGCAAATTACACACACACATGTGTGTGTACATGGTCTCATCCATGTACGTGTGTGTGCTGTCATTCATCATTTAATCGTAGATACCTCTTTAACAAGGTATTGTTTAAAACAATTAACCAATTTTTAAATGGCATAATAGCAGATTAAAAACTTGGGGTTTTAATTGTAGGCTGAATCCACCTTTTCTCCACTCAGTCTGAAGATGCAATTAATTGTATGAATAATTAATCCCATATTGTTAGCCCTATTGAAAAAAGACAAAGGAACAAGAACGTATTTAGCCTTCAGAAGAAGATGGGAAAACAGAAAGCACGAAGGAAAAGACAGTGGTGCCACTATGGGATATGCAGTAAAGCAGGAGCTGGGATTTTAAAGACTTGCAAATTTTACCTGAGGTTACTCTGTTTAAGTTGCACAAATGGGTGCAAACCAAAGCCATGACCTGAAGAATGCTGGCATATGACCACAAGTAGGAGGCTCTCTATCTTATGATCTGTGATGAAAAATGGGTGACTTAAACTAGTTTAAGCCTTGGGCATGGGCAGAAAGTGAAAGTGAAAGTCCCTCAGTTGTGTCTGACTCCCTGTGACTCCAGGCTAGAATACTAGAGTGGGTAGCCTTTCCCTTCTCCAGGGGATCTTCCCAACCCCAGGGATCGAACCCAGGTCTCCCGTATTGCAGGCAGATTCTCTACCATCTGAGCCACAAGAAAAGCCCAAGAATACCAGAGTGGGTAGCCTATCCCTTCTCCAGTGGATCTTCCTGACACAGGAATTGAACTGGGGTCTTCCGCATTGCAGGCAGATTCTTTACCAACTGAACTATCAGGGAAGCCCAGGCATGGGTGGGAGTAGAGTTAATAGTTATAATACAGCCATTATACTTCTCACCTCTAGAATTTGTTGCAATACTCCAAATGATCACAGCTGGGGAAAACGTCAATATGTATAGACCAGTATCTCCTGGCTGTGAATACCAATATTTGTGAAAACTCTATCTTATATATGCTTTATTTATTTGTTCAAAATACATGAGCTTAAAAATGTGTTTTTCCCCTCCCTATTATCACACTATAATTTAGTACTAGAATAACAATCCTCCCAGCATACCCAATGAGTTTCTTTGGTCCTCTTTTAAAGGATTTAATCTTCATAAATAATAGCTAAGTAAACTTAAGACACTTGGACAATTTCTTTAGCTTAATGTATTCAAATCCACAGTTGGCACTTCATTTCTTTTCATTTAAAAATAAATCAACTTGTCTCAATAAGCTCTACATGAATACACACACCTAACAAAATAAATCAAAGCAGCACATCTAAAACGATGAGATCCACTTGTTACCTTTACAAGAAATATACCATTTTCAAAAAGGTCTCAACATTTTTTTATTAAGTCAATATATACTTTAAGATAATTCACATGCAAGTACTTGAAGAAGGATTTCCAGATACAGACGAGAAACTTTTTTCAAGAGGATTTCCATAAACATGTGAAAAACTGTTAAGTATTTCAAGAGCTTTTCCTTCAGAAGAGAAGTTTCCTGTCAACTGTACTTAATATGTGATTTTATGTGCATGATTTCCTGTGCAAACTTCCATGCCGTCTATATTCACATTTTAATTTTAGGGGAAAGCTTGGAAAATATTAACTATAACAACAAATTCAGCGACCTTTAAAGTATAGTTCTATAGATAGTGGTCTTTCTCTCCAATAGCTCCACTTCAATTACAAAAGTGAAACCCACAATGTAATGGACATGAAAACCTAACCAAAATGCCCCTGAAGAAGAGATGTGTACTTCAGGAAAAAACTGAGAATCCTAACTTAAGCAAGGGACTGCATCAAGACACTATTAAGACTCCCAAACTTGCTATTTATAGAAATTAAAAAGAGACTTACTTGCTTTGTTTTTCCATGCTAGCTACCCTGAGGCATTCCCATCTTGAATTTAGAAGATTCATTTGTTCTTGGACTTCAGTTTCTTCATCTTCTGATAATTTCCCTGACCCAATCAGCTGACTCCCCAATTGGAGAACATTGCCAACCCGTCCCTGATGGGATGTCAAATCCATCATGTATCCCTGACAAAGAAAGAAGGTGATAAGAGTTGACATATTATGGAAATCATTATGGTTTTGAATCTCTCATTTTTTTTGCAATTTTAAATTTGTAGCCCAGTTAAAGTTTATTCCCAGTAAAAGTAAATCCAATACTATTTATAATATGAATTAATGGATACTAGTAGCTTAGGTCACCTTCTGAAGAAGCAGAGCCTGAGACCAGGACTTATATGCTAGTGATTTATCAAGAAAGAGATCCCTGGGGAGATTTGCAAGGGAGCAGAAGCAACAGGAAACAGGAAACGGAAGGGGAGGAGGCCAAGTAAGTGCGTCATCCCAGGAAAAATCTCCGACTGAGGGGGCAGTGCAGCCTGATATCCCCTAGGTACTCTGGAGTGTAAGTTCTATCTCAGCATTGACCTTGACCCAAGACAAAGGGACTGGCCTTTCATATTCCTATAGGAGCCACTGGCGAAATCAAGTCTCAGCACCTTCAGAGTGTTATTCTCCAAAGGAAAACTTCCAAAGCTGCCTACTGGAAAGCCAAATGCATGAACATTTATCTTGCTTCCATCTCAAAACAAACACTAAATTACCAGAATACAAGGATCTTATAGAGTAACTGAGGAAAACAGAGGGAATGACCATTATGTCATCTGCCCTATTTCATTAATCGATGTTTTGCTTTTACCTCGTGAGTATGAAACTGTTCTTTCACTTCTTCTACATCATTAGAAATCTCTCCCTGTGCTTGCAATGTGTCCTCGGCTGAAAGGAGCCATGAGAGTACTTCTTCTAAAGCTGTCTGGTAACTGTCCAGGTTTACTTCAGTCTCCATCAATGGACTGCCAAATGACTTGTCTTCAGGAGCTTCCAAACGCTGAACAATAAAAAAAATTGGGTGTTATATAATTAGTATCTTTGCAGGCTGTTCCAATACATTAAATGATAAATCGAATGAAATATTTAAAATGCTAGAAACGTCCACTTGCATTATTAGAGACATGAACAGCAGACATACACAATAATGAGCCTGCATTTTAACATCCTCACAAATACATACACAGATTCTCAAATGGCCATTGGAATCCACTTCAAATTAATATTTGATTAAAATTCTCTGGATTACTATAAGGAGTGATTTGGTACATTATCTCTTAATGTTAAATGCCACAGATTTTCATCCATAGGCAAACTTTTTAATTCACATTTTGAGTCCTCTATATATATATTATTGGTATTATATTTATGTAATTTTCACAATGATGGTAAAGGAAACATCTCTTCCTAAGAGCTCCTAATGAAATATTTCTGAAAGTCTCCAGACCAGAAAAGTTATCAATAAGAAAATAAGTGAGGGAAAGGTATAATTAAAAAAAAAAAAACTTCATTCATACATCTGAAACTTCTAAAGGTAGAATGACTTCTATGAATTAAGCCTTTATTTCCAGAAGGTCATGGTTTAAATAATAAGACATTATCTTAGGCAAAGCAAAATATAAAGTATTTGCTATCAAATTTATTTAGCAGGATGTCAGCTGAGATTCTCAACAGTTGTAATTTCTCCTGGGATCCTAAAGCTGAAAACCCTGGTTACAAAGTGTTCATAATTCTGAAGCTAAGATCCAGGCCACCTATGAAGGAATTGCTAAGAAGGGACCACAAAACTGTCCTACCCTCCTTCATCTACTACCAAACTCTAAGGTATATAAGAGGAAGCAAGGAGACTGACTGAAGAAATCTGGTGAGAAAGGATTCCTCTGGAGAGCAATGCATGTCTATACCTTCCGCCACCTCTAGCCAAGCAATGGAGACCTCAAGAGATCTATAGAGCAGACGGTATTTGACAGAATGGAATAGTGACCTCTAAACCTGGCTGTGTGCTTGCACAGATTGAGGAGCTGTGGAACCAGTACTACCAAGTGATAGGAGACAGCTCTTGGGATAACCTATGTACCTGCTGCTTTAACCTTAAGGCACTTATCAATATTAAAAAATCAGAACAAATAGGAGCATCTGCATAAATTTTTCTTTAGGTCAAGCACATGCATGGTAGGTGGCTGGGCTTTAGAAATCCTGAGGAGGACCACACTCAAGAGGGTTTTCTGCTGAGGTAAGGGACATAGGCAAATAAAGTAGTCAGGGCAAAAACACTGGAAAAATACTTGGAGAGGAATCTTCTGAACACCCTATAGATAGCAAGCAAGCACTGGGCCCTGACAAATGGGATTTTGCAAAGGAAACAAATGGCAGTGTAGAACCACAAGAAGCTACTTGTGGGGGGAGGGAGGTCATGATCTTGCCTAGAGAAAATGCATCCTTCTGATGGTTCTTCTCTGCCATGTCTGCCTTGAATTTCCAGTCCCTAGCAATTCTGGGCCTTTTCCCACTGAGCTGCCAGCACCAACTTAATTGTGCTCTTCTGATAAATGCTCCAATTTTGAAACTTTAATATGATAAATTTCTTGAACTATTAAATCCTTTAGGATGAAAAAGCATAGAGGCAGTCTTTGGTGTATTATTTTCATCAAAGGATGCATTCTGTATCTGTTTCTAGAGAACTGGCACAATATGTCAGCCTGTTAAGTCAAAATTATCCAACTTCAGGATCTCAAACAGAATATAAGTGTCACAAGAGAGGTAGTCGCATGGGCCCTCCCCAAGGTCAAGGCAAGTTCTGGAGGTCTTAGGGGTTAGAACAACCTCCATGATGTATTCCTTCCCTCTACCCCCAAATAATATAAATAATAACTTAAAAGTCATCAGTAGGAGGAAAAAAGTCACAAAAAGATAGCCTGGGAAATGTGTGTAGACAGAAATAGCCTCATGGTTGGAAGACCTGAGCAGTTTTACAATGTTTAAATGATCCCTTGCTTGTTTTATATGCTCCTTGACATTGCTGCCTTAAAATTCTTAATAATTCTATCCTTGAACTTGGGCTTTCAAGTTCAGTGAAGTGATAAAGTATGCATATGAGCAGAGGAGACAGGTACATTATGTGTGTCTTCCCCATTTGCATATAGTGTTTCTGGTGTCCTGTGAGCCTAGAATTCTGGTGGACCCACGATATGTGGGAGCTGAGCAGACTCCCATTCAGTGCAAATGTCTATGACTGAATGAGGGATGGCATTGACAGCCTCAGGAAATCATGGTTTCTGTTTGAACCAAAACTATCTTCCAATGCAGAAAGAAAGCAATGCTAAAAAACCAAAAACAACCAATGAACCCAATCATATCCTTTCACACTCATATTTCTTTCCTGTGTTAGCCAACCATTTATGCTACAACCAATGACAGAGAAAGAAAGGGAAAGATAAGGCAAGATGATTCCTTTCCTTTCAACTCCTTCCTTACTTATCAGTAAGATGAAGGCACGGAACATAAGTAGAAAGTGCACCTATCAAGGAGTGAAATAAACACATCTGAGTTAGTTGTACAACGTTTTCACGTTAAGAATGAAATACAGATGCATATATAAGCTCTGAAATACAAATTGTGCAATGCTGGTGATTCCGCTTAAGTTAAATGATCTTATATTTGCATTTACAACTGCAATTGCACAATATAACAATGGGCAGTAAAACTCACGCTAATACTTTAAAATTTAATTTTCTTTACTCAGTATGATGTTGAATAGCAAATAAAAAACACAATGGCAAGTTGAGAGAAAGACCATAGAATAAAGGAAACAGCTTTATATTTTGGTCATTTGAACAGCACTTTCCTTCCTGCTTTTTTGAACAAGGGGCTCCAAATTTTATTTTTCACTGCACTATACAAATCAGTAGCCCTGGGTGTAGGTGGGGGAAAAGTACAATCAAATCCTGGATAGTGTGTCTTCCCTGGGTTATAGGTGAGAAGAGACAGAACATTTATTATGAATAGTAGAAAGTGGTTATAAAACCCAAGGACTCTGGAAGTCAATCAGTTTTTGGATCTTGACTTGCAGCTGAGGTCTTGTCATCCTGGTAGTTACTTAACTGCATCATTAGCCTTAGCTTCCTCCTATGTAAAATGAGAACAACAATATAATACTTTCCTAAGACTGCTGTAAGAATTAAAGGAGAGTATATAAAGTGTTCGGCAGAATGCCTGAACCTGCGTAAGAACCCAATACAGTAGCTGATAGCTCTAATTATTATTAGATTCTTCTACACATAAGGACCATTTGGAAACACAGCCTTCTCCAAGGTTACCTTCTTGAGTCACTGTTCAAATTTCAAGGGCCAGAAAATTCCTATTTAAAAAAATGACCCAGGAAACATCTAAGAGTAAACACCAATTAAATGAAACCTTTCTGAAACTGGAAACTCAACCTAGCTCCTATTTAAAAGTTCTAAAAATTATTAACAATCTTGAGTTCAAATAATCTTCTGCAAATGATAAATTGCAAACGACACTATTACTCAAGTAACACAACACTATATTTTACCATTGCACAATTTAGATTAAAAAAGTAAACACTTCATGATTTACTGATATTTACAGAGGCTTGAATTTTTGGAGAAAATTTTAGAAGGCAAATCTTTATACTCAAGGACATGCTGTCTAGCACTCATAAATTCTGAATCTAAAAGTTTTGTCTGAGGATATTCATAAAACAAAAACTTTGCAAAGACAGCCATATTAAAGCTAAATTCAAACAGATAAGCTGTGTGAAATTACACAAATAACTCATTATTTATATCCATAAATCAATTCTACATATATACTTGATTATGGTCAAAATTGTCAGTTAGGCTGTAAATAATTTTTTGTCTAGACCACTGTTTTTCAAATTTGTAAGTTATGATCCATCAGTGATTTTTTAATCATTTCAGTGGGGATGACCAGGAATAGTCTATTTAAAAATAAAAAGAATAAAAATACCAGTCTGTGTCATTTATATTAAGGACTAGACTGTTGTGTGATTTTCTGTTTCAAGTATGCATATATATATGTCTATTAAATGTATATGTAAGCATGTTCTGCGTCATGATGAAAAAAATTTTTATAGTTCATGGAACAAAACTGGAAATTATTCTAGAATTTCAGTACAAGTAAATCCCATGAAAGAAGAAATTTGCTGAATTCCACATTTGCACATTTGCAATAAAACCCTTGGAAGAACATCTTTATATTCATCTTTAAAACAGAATTTTGAAACAAACGAGGACACACAGAGAGGCTTGTGCTTTTGGTTTTAGTTTCTCAAAATATGTACTCATTGTCATACTGTTACATATTTGACCTTAGCCTGTGGCTAATTCATACATATTACAGTAAAGAATTTTTCTTTTTAGGAAGCTTGATCTTTGTTTTGTATTAAAAAATAAAAGAGTGATGCGTAAGAACGAGATACCAATCATTTCATGAATGGAAGTGCCAGTATCATCAACTAGAACTAATTTTCTCCCCTATGCTTTGAACTTATTTTAATTTCCATCTTTATAACAGTAGTTTATGTTTCTCTGCAGTACATTGGGCAAATAATGATTCAGATGAGAGGCATAACAATGAATGGATGAAACAATTCTACTTGTTTTCAAAATTAGGAACACTAAAATTTATTCAACATTATCCATATGCTCCAGAGGCTTAATTACTACCCTTTTGCATGAAGAACTACTAGATATTGTCAACTATGTTCCTTGAAGATGTTGCTAATGCATAAAGGTGAAGGAGTAGAGAGGGGAAAAGTAAAGTAATGAGGGAAGACAAATGGGTATATGTATTAGTCCTGCGATATCCAGGACAAATGTCTGGAAACTCATTCCCAGTGACAGAAATTGTCATAATAAAATGGAGAGGGATAGCCCTGAAACTACTCCAGACGTAGATTTTTTTTTAAATCCAGTTTACTATCTATCTGACCTTGGGCAAGTTACCTAACTTCTCTGT